TGGGTGTTGGGTATTTTGTCTCATCAATGAGAGAAAAGTAACTAAGACACCCGGCTTCACACTTACCCCTCCCCCCTGTGTCACTAAGTTATATCTTCTGGGTATCTTTGTACCAGTGCCCATGCCCGGCACTGGGGAGACAGAGATGAATCAGTCACGTGTCCTGCCTCAAGGAGGCGTCCTGTCAACATGGAAGCTAATGTAAGGCTGAGGTGCTACAACAGGGAACTCAGGGCTGCAATGACATCTCAGAGAAGGGGTGCCCAGTGTAGCACTGGGATCCGGAGGGCATTGCCACAGAGGGGGAAGCTACCAGAGGAAGCCCTTTAAAGTGTGAAGCCCAAAGGCAGGAGTGCTGAAGAAATCTCTGCAATAGAGGCAAAGAAAAGAGAATGCAAAGCCCCAAAGAACTTACGAGGTGTCTAAAGCCCAGAGAAGTTAAGCAGCTTGGCTAAGGTCACACAGCTCATTGGCAGAGAGAGAACAAGTTCAGCCTCTCATCAGTCTGCTAGATTTTCAATAACTTTTTTGCTCTATCCCACTCAGTCCTTTTTCGTTCTTTCTCCCACCCCCAGCCTGTGCCAGGTCTGGAAAGATACACAAGTTAGGGGAGGTAAGCGATTCCCTAGGGCTGGGCTCACTTGGCAAGAGGGCCTAAGTGACCCTCCACCCATTCTCACCTTTCCTGACTGCCTAGTATGCAAATCCACTAGGATGACATCTACTTTTAAATAAAAGTCTGAGGGCCAGCCAAAATATCTCAGCAGATTAAAGTGCCTACAAGCAGGTGCAGGGGCTGGGGGTTCAATCCCCGGGCCTGCTGTGCTGGCCCTGCCCCCGGGGCATGCTGAGATAGCAATTGAGACTGGATGTGGTGGCACGCACCTCTAATCCCAGCTCTTGGGAGGCTGTAAACAGGTGAATCACTATGATTCTGATCTAGTAGTGAGACTCTGAACACCTTGTAGACCCTTCCCTAAAATATAATTAATTAGTTAGTTAATTAACAAATGTCTGTAGAATCAGTCAAAATCTTGGTAGTTCAGAATTCAACTAATTTTTTTTTTCAAGACAAAACACACTTCGGTGTTATTGACTTATGGACCTTAAATGGAACTGCAACTTCTTACTGGATCTCTAATAGTTACTAAAAAATGATACTCCAGCAGGGTGTGGTGGTATGTGCCTGTAATCTCAGCTACTGGGGGAGCTGAGGAAGGAGAGCTGACGATTTGAGGCCAGCTTAGGCGGCTCAGCAAGACCGTATCTGAAGATAAAAAAAATAAAAGGGGCCAGAGATTTCACTTAGTTTTTCCCGAGGTTAATCCCCAGTACAGGACAAACAAACCAGAACAGAACAAAATAAAACAAAACAAAACAAAATGAAAGTCACTCAACGAGCTCTTAAGATGTCCAAGATGCTCTACTAGATGCTGGGGAAAGGGTATAAAAATGAGTATGTACACAGAGAGCACATTGGCCAAGCAATGGCCGTGACTCATCCACATGGCTGCACTGACAAAGGTTCTACAATCTGAGGTACAGGATCTCAGGATAAATCCTGAGGGGATTTCACTGACCTTCTCAGACCCAAAAGCTACAACTCTTGTTGCATAGGTCCTGCTTTACCTTGGTCTTAACCATCCAGTAGAAAAGTATGAAGACGAAATGTAGGAAATAAAGCCAGGCTGTTAAGTTGAGCTGTGGGGGACTCAGGTCAATGATTTCTGACATTGCCAGTTAAACAGAAGACCCAATGCTGGGCTGGAGAGATGGCTCAGTGGTCTAAAGCACCTACTTGAAACAAGCTTGGCAAAGCACAGGGACCGTGGTTCCATCCCCCAGCACCACATGCCAGCCAGCCCCGCCCCCTGGTGGGCTGAGCTGGCCACACACACACACAATAAATAAATGTAATAAATAAAAATAAATAAATAATTAAAAAAAAGACCCAATGCTATTATGGGCTACTGGACTCTTTTAGAATATTTTGCTGAGTTTACACACCTATAATATTCAATAACGGAACCTCGAAAAAATAGGGTATACAGATGAATGTACATTTTGTATCTGTGTATTCAAAGTTCTTAGGATAGATATATAGTTGCATTCTCTTAATGAATAGAATGATTTGTTCTAATGGTGTTTGTAAATAGGATCTCAAGTCTGCATCTTGTACAGCAATTAACCACTAAGAAGAATATATGCAGTGTGTTATTTGTTGAAAAAAAAAAATGAGTATGTAGTGGCCTGTGTCCTCAAGGAGCAGACACTGGTCCAACTGTGTCCCTGATCACTGTCGCGTTCTTAGTGGATCATCATCCAATAATACAGAACTTGCTGCCACGTGAGAGAGCATGCTGTATTTTCAGTCATTAAGTTCACCGAAATCTCCTCTTACAGACTTTATATAACTTTTCTTGGCCTAGAATGTAGAAATCATACATCTAGTTATTTTTTCATATACTAGCTCTCATGTTTATTTTATTATTTTTAAAATACTTTTTATTTTTATTTATTTATTTATTGGGTACAGGGTCTCACTATGCAGTTCAGACTCATAGTGATCCTCCTGTCTCAGCCTCCCCTGCACTGGGATTACAGGTGTGTTCCACATGCCTGGTTTGGGGGCTGGCACAGCGTACTCGGGGTTCCAGGCCTGGCATGGGGTGTGGTACCGGGAATTGAGCTTGTATATTTACATTTGCCAAGCAGGCGCTTAGACCACTGAGCTATTTCTCCAGCACTTATTTTTATTTTTTAAGTATAAAATGCTTAAAATTTTGTAGGATAAAAGAATGATAACAAATTTAAAAAATTTTAAACTTGCAAACACTACAAAAATAATGCCATTTTACTTAACTGTCCAAGCACTCTGTAGCTCTTTTTTCCCCTTATAATTTTGGTTTCATATACTTCAGTTACTTTCTCTCATTTTTATTTTATTTTATTTTAAATGCATTTAGTACAGGGTCTACAGGGTCTCACTACACAGATCAGACTCATAGTGATCCACCTGTTTACAGTCTCCCAAGAGCTGGGATTATAGGCTTGAGCCACCACACCCAGTCTCAATTGCCATCTCAGGGTGCCCCAGGGGCAGGGTTGGCTCAGCAGGTCTGGAGATCGAATCCCTGGCCCCGTACCTGCTTGCAGGTGCTTTAATCCACTGAGCTATTTGGCTGGCCCTTGCCTAAACAGGTGATTTAATCTGCTGGGCTATCTGGCCAGCCCCACTTTCTCTCATATTTACTATGTGTTTTCCTGTCTACATTTTCTTCCTCTGATTCTGTTCTTTTTTAGAGACCTCAGAGCCTTCATTTCCTTTCTGCATGAGGTGCCCAGAACGGGGTACAGGGACAGCTCCAGCAGCCTGAGTGGAAGCCCTGGCGGCGGCCTCCTGTCCTATGTAGGCTGCTGCCGTCGCTGACTGTGGTCAGCAGACGCCTGTGGCCTTCCTCCCAGGACAAAGGTGCCCAGCTGACACCAATGCTGCAGAGTTTTCACAGCTTGGAGCAGAACTTTATTTATTTGTTTGTTTGTTTGTTTGTTTGTTTGTTTTGAAGTACTGGGAATTGAACTCAAGTGCTTATTTGAAGAACTTTAGATTTCTTCCTTTTTAATTTGAATTTTTTCACTGAAACCATTGCTCTGTCTGGATGAGTTTTTGGTTTTGTTTAACTTCGGATTCTGTCATCAAGGTACCAGCTGTTTTTCAGCTTTATATCATCAGAATGTTTGGACAACGTAACTCTCATGCCTTTATCCGGTAGGTGCCTTAGCAAAACTGCTGACCTGGAAAGGACCAAGGACAGCGCTCCGCTTGACTCACCTGGAATTGGCACTGATAGGAAAGTCTGTGAGTTTTTGTTTTGTTTTTTGTTTGCAAATTCTGCTTGAAAACAACCCCTTGACTCTGTTGTCATTGAATTCACCTATGTCTGTCCACTAGAGACCATGGGAGGTTTTCTTAAAATGCTTTACTGCAAGCCGGATGCACTGCCTGCCCTGATCTTGGGTAACAGAGTGGCAATAACGCCCCAAAAAAGCAGCGAGGTTGGTTTGGCGTTCTGTCCTAGCAGCCTTCTTACCAGCTTCCTTTTCCTGTGATTCTTTAGAACTTACACATTCTAGAGCCAGAAGGTATCATGGAGGGGATTCAAGATTTAACTCCCAGTTTTGCAAATGAGGAAAACAGTGCCTACAGTGCTTAACTGGTATTCCCAAAGCCGCAGACAGGTTAGAGGCGCAGCACCAAGGCTTGGACTTCTACGTCTCCAAGTTCAAACATTTCTTAACAGTACCACGTAATCATGTCTTTTTCTAAACAAGGCCACACACACACACACACACACACACACACACACTTCTTGCTTTCCTTTGGGCTTCTAACTGTCCACTAAGACATGCCATGGCACTGTGACTTTATGAGGTTCATGGGGGTTCCAAGACTGACCCCTTTCTCCTAACCCCCCTATGGCATTTGTGCTCCAAGAGGGAACCTGGGTTTCCCCAGTTGCATTAGTCTTTGGAATACTCATCTACCTAGAAGAGGCCTCTACTTTGTACCACACTTGCGCCTGTGAGTCCAGGCACGGGACTTGCCTTCCGGTGGGTATGTTAGCTAGGCTGGCTCTTCTAGGTGAAGTGGAGGCAGGGCCTTCCCTGGGCGGCAGCAAGGTGACTGCCTAGATGTCTGTGGGGCATCAAGTCTTTTCTATACACTGTGAGAGGTCAGAGCCCCTGGACTCACTGCGTAAGGGCTTGGCGGTACCAGATGAGGCCCTAGATGGGAGGCCCTGCAGTGGCCTGCAGCCCATTCCCTGAGGAATGGGTCCTCCAGGGAGGGAGGTTAGGTAGCTTGATTCAGGAGAATTGTGGCGAGAGAGCTAGCTGAGCCTTTGAGTGAGTGCACGTGGGGTGGTCCCTGGTACCCTGGACAACCCCAATGGCAGGGCCCCTCCCCACCCTTCCCACCCCCCCTAGGAGGCCCTGGGTACCTGTTTATTCTTTAGGTCAAGGGAGAGTTCGTAATCAGAGGCGCCAGGGGTGTGGGAGCAGGGTGCTGTCGCCAGGGCAGGCTGCTGCTGGCCGGGGGAGGCCGCACGATGGGTGCCAGCCCTGGGGGAGGCACCCCCCGCCCCCGGCCGCTCCTCCTCCTCCTGGAGCTCCTGGGCTTGAGCCTTCGGGGCATGGGCACTGGGTCTGCTGGCTGCCACTGCGGAGTCCTCCATGCCCCCACCGGCCTGGGCACAGGAGCCGTCACTGTGAACAGAAGGCAATGGGGCTCGGTTGGGGGAGAGGGGCACGGGCTGCATGCAGCCTGAACTTTCTGGGCTTTTCCAAAGATGGTGAGTGGTGGGGTTGCCCCCAGAAGTTCCTTCTAGGGATGGGCTGTGATGGCAGGAAGGAGCCCGGGCCAAGGGTGAACCTGAACTTGGGGAGGGCATCTGAGATGGAGGCGAGGGGTGGTTCTGGCCAGAACCCAGGGCCCTCTGTTCAGTAGCAGAGGGAGAATAGCTAAGAGTGGCAATGACTCCAGCTGTGCCTCTTCTCAGGTGTGTGACTCTTAGTGGGTTGCTTTACTACAGCTCGGTCTCCTCATCTATAAAATGGGCATATGAATAGGACCTGATGCATAGGAGTTTTGGAAGGCTCACGTGAGTTAAAGTCCCTGAAAGCCCTTGTCTCACAGTCATTGCCACACACTGGGGTTAGTTATTGTAACCGTCTGGGGTCTGCATCGCTGGTCATTGACTGGGCCCAGGACTCCGTGATTCTGCTCTATCCCAGTGAGTGACCGGGCTTTTTTATGAGCCCCTTAGGTTGGTGGCTGCAGCTTTGGGATGGGTCTGTGGGAGGACTCTCTCTCTCTCTCTCTCTCTCTCTCTCTCTCTCTCTCTCTCTCTCTCTCTCTCTTCTGGGTTTAGGAGGGCCTCTGCTCTCCCCTGGCCTCTCCTGGCCTCCTGTGGAGCCACCAGCAGACTGAGCAGTGGCTGCTTCCCTTGCACCTACCCTCGGAAGCCAGCTTAGAGCCAGGAGGAGCTCCGCGCCAGCCCTGGGGACTCAGCTCACTCAGAGTGCCTCCCTCACTATCAGCCTCTGAGTTCTACTCTTCCCTCAAGACCCACTGCTGGGCTGCCTTCCCCCAGAAAGCCTTCTCAGAGGACTGTGGCAACACCAGCACCTGTCCCTAGAGGGTCACTGTCTCTTTCACAAAGGAGGAACAGTATGATGAACAGCATGGGTTCAAATCCAAGTCCCAGCCCTGTACTCTGTGGCACTGGACAGACTGCTTTGTTCCCAAGCCTCGGTTTCCTCACCTATGTAATCGGTGTACCCATGGCTACTTTGTTCTGTTATAGTGCAGTATATACCATATGATACTATATAGAGTGCAGGGTCCACATATGCAAGGTGTTCAGCACAAAATGTGTAAATAATAAATAAACTTGTTTCCCTTTCTATCCTTTCACAGAGTCTAAGGCTCAGATTTGCTTTTATTCCCATAACTGAGACAAATTATGGGTGCCCTATCAATACCTAATGAATCAACTGAAGAGAACCGAAGGCCTTAGGAGTGGCCTCCACAGACGGATGGTGATGGGAGGTCAAGGAAGGGATGATAGCGTCACGGTCATCGAGTATAGCCCCCCAGTGCCTTCTTTACACGGGAAGCCCACCTCCAGAAAGGTTCCCCAGGTCATGCCAGAGAAGGGTCTTTCCCCCAGTGCTTCTGCAAACCTTGGGCTGCACAGAGGTGATCTGCCTGGAGCTAGGGTAACCAAGGAGGAGGTGAAGAATCCTCTTTTTACTCAACCTCCGTCTGTCCTTGCCTCTGTGATCCCAAAACAGAAGAGCTCTCCTGGGGGACCTTGGCCACAGGAACTTTCCTTGCTCCTCCATGGTTGCTGCCTCTACCATTCCTCGTGTGGCCACCGGTCAAGCTGTCTGGCTGCATGTAGCTCTGAATATTTTTGGTGTCTTTGTTCCCTAGCATCATTAGAAAGGTTGCTTTTCCTTAGCTTTAGCTTCTACTCCCCTTGCTATAGCATGTGTCTTTTTCCCCCTGACCATACAGAAATAATCCTTTTCTATTACTAGTATGACTTGCACCTGGGATCTGGAGGGAATATTCAGGCTCCTCCCCTTGCTCCCATCTCTTCCCCCACCTGCCTGAGGTGCTGAAGTGTACTTTCTAAGACTCTTTAGGGAACTGATAACTACTCAGAGCTACAAATACCTTCAGTAACAGCCCTTTGCTTTCTTTGATTGCTGGAGTGCATCTGGCAAGAGGTTGGGTAGGGGGGTTGCTGCCCCAGAGCTCAGCCAATGACAGTAGAGGTTGTTGCATAAATACTTAGCACTCTTGTTCCCTGGGTAGGACAATTATGAGGCACATTCTGTACAATCTCTCCAAAGCTCCAGGGACATCAAGCCCCAGAGGGTCAAGGCAGGAACCTGATAATTAATGGACACTGGATAGGCTTCCTGCTAGACTGCACCTCATTTTCCCCACTTTCCTGGGGGCACTTGTAGATGCTTCTTCTCCCAGAAAAACTACTGCATTAAAACAAGCCAGACTTTAGTGAAAGCCTTTGGGGTGGGCCTGTGCTTACGGCCTCTTCTCTAGTCCTAGTGGCATCCAGTGTTCACTCCTGCACCCGTGTGCACACGCATTCACGCACATGCCGCACTTCCAGCCAGCGCTGTGGCTTTGGGCAACTTGTGCCCTCCCCAGAGTCAGTTTCCTCGCCTGTCACCCGAGGGGAGCTTGGATTCCGCTGCTGAGGCCCCCAAGGACTCCACAGCTCAGGGACCTCCTTCCCCCTGTCTGCCTATGTACACAGGCTCCTGAAAGACTGAGTCCCCCAGGGATAGGATGAGAAGGTGTTGGGAGATTCCTTGGTGATGTGGAAGAAAGTGACCATGGAAGCCCTGCAGGATTCTGTCCAGTAGGGCCAAGTTTATGTAGTGGAGGGCAAAGAACCTGCACTTTGGTGTCAGGAGCCCAGGTTGGAAGCCTGGCCTGCTGCTTTCTATGTGACCTTGAGCAGGTTACCTGTCCTCTGTGCAGAGCTGTTTCCTCACCTGCAAAATGGACATCCTAAGACATACTTGGCAAGCTTGCCATAAGACAGATAAGGAATAATAAAGCATTTTTAGCACCTAGTTTGGCACCTGGCACACAGCTGTCCTTAGTGAACAGGAGCAGTGCCCGTGGTGGTTTGTTTGCTGAGCTAGAGCCCCACAGCAGGGGCTCCCAAAGACATTCCCAGAAGACTGTGAATGCTCAAGTGGAGGGGCTCTCCTAGTTGAGCCAGTTTTCCCCTCAGTAGGTAGCTCGTGGTTTCTCTTAGACTGCAGCTGGACTGACTGCCCTGAGACTCCCCTCCCCACCATTTCATCCTCTGGCGCAGCAGTGCTTTGACCAGGTCATGGTCTTGAGTGGTTCTGACTCAGGCCGCTGTTGCCTGTGGGGGATGTGTGTGCTCCCTGCCTATGACCGGGCCCTTGGCTGTACCTTCCAAAGCGGGCACGTCTGAGCTGGGCCTTGGTCCAGGGCCTGCTGCATGGACCTGTGCTTTGGGCCTTTGTCAGGGCACCAGGGAGGGCTGAGAGTGCGGAGCCTCTCCTCAGTGGCTGGGCACCCGCAGGATGCTCTCTGCCCGTTTTCCTCTGCACGGATGACCTGAGGAAAAGGTTGAGGTCTTCATCGTAGGGAGGACCTTCTCTTTCAACTTTGAGACCCCCCTTTCTTCAGTTCACAGCCCATCGATTGCACCCAGAATGTCATCCTCCCGAAGGGGAGGCTGCATCTCTTCAGCTTCTGGAAGTGGTTGTGCTGAGTGCCCATGCAGCTGCCTCCCTAGTGGGTCTGATTACAGGCAACCCGGACTCGGACAAGCACTTTATGTTGGGATTCATTCATCCATTCCATGCCTTAAGCCCCCACTTGAGTTCCCCTAGTAGGGACCCTGGTAAGCTTTGCTCTCTAGGGTTCCACATCCACATTCCATAACAAATTTTTAGGCTGACAGTCCACAGCCTAGAGAAGTAGGGTCACTGATGACATGTAAGCAGCATTGGCTATCATGAGGTTACCCCCTGGGTTCGGGCACCCATTTGAGGAGGAAAAACAGTAAAACCTGGGTGACAGCAAAATGAGGTGGTTCTGAGAACGTGCCATCAGACCAACACATGCACAGGGCCCTGGGGCGCCTGCGGAAGTCAGCTCATGTACAAGAACACAGGGTTCAAGTACGGGACCTGAAAATCTTTGAGAAATTAAGAACAAGCTGTTGCTCACAGGAGCATCACAAACTTAGAGCTGAGTGACCTATGTGCCGGAGCAGAACAGAACAGCTGAGGAGGGTTTCTTACGTAGGAAACTGGCTTGGGATTAGAGGGCTGCTAGGAGCTGCAGGGCATGCCTCGCCTTAGCTCAAGTGACTTCCCTGGGGTTTAGTGAACCATTGCATTCTTCTGCCATCTCCCCCACCAGAGTCAATCCTTGGCTCAAAGCCCATGTGTCTCTCCGCTCAAAATCTTACCCCATTTTCCTTTCCAGCCTCGTCTCTGCTGAGCAAGCCACCCCCTCTGTCCGCACTGTCCCCATGTCTGCCAACCTCTCTCAGACCACAATACCTGTCCCATGGTTTCTTCCACCTGAAATGCCTTCCCCTCTCCATGCCCTCTTGCACCTATGACTTTCTCTGTCTGCTCAATTCTTTCAAGACTCTCTTGCTGCCAGGTGCTGTGCTGAAGCTTGTAATCCCAGCACTCTGGGAGACTGAGGCAGGAGGATCACAAGTTCAGGTCTAGCCTGAGCAAGTCAGTGACTTAGTGAGATCCTGTTGCATTTTTTTTTTTTTAAAGAGCGCTAAAGTTGGAGCTCAGTGTGTAGGCCCTGGGATCAGTCCTCAGAAACACACACACACACACACACACACACACACACACACACACCCCACATGCTGGCTGCAGCAATAGCCAGTCCCACCCTCTTAGGTACTCTAATAGTTCTTGGCACTCACTTCTCTTTTGCCAATGACCACTTTATACTCTTAATTAGTCATGATGTACATCTCCTCCCTAGTCTGTGCCATGTACTCTGTTCTTATCAGAGGTGCCAACACAGTGGGTTGATTTATAGGACATGTTTGACAAACGTTGAACAAATGTCTGCCTGGATGAATGGCTTGCTGACTGAGTCGCTGGACAGCCGGCTGGCTTGAGGGTTAGATGGAGAAGTAGCTAAGAAGATGGATCAATAGATAGGTGGGTGGGTGGGTAGATGGTTAATCTCTACTATTTTCCCGAGGGCAGACTTGGTGAAGCACCACCCGGGCCTTCCTCCAAGGAAGGACTGCCAGGAGCACACTAGGGACTGCCTTTGGCTATGACCCCATCAGCTCCAGCAGGGATCCACAGTTTCTGCTACAGGCAGCTCCAGTCACGTGCCTCTGAGACCCACCTACTTCCAATGGCTGATTTAGGTAGAATGTGGAGACTTGACCATCTGAGCCCAGTGTTCTCTATCAGGACCTCACAGGGATTGGTCAGGGCTGGAGCTGGGCTCCTGCACTTGGACTCTGCCTCATGCTGGGTCTCTCCCCTCCCTTCAGTGGAAATTGATCCCAAATGGATCCCTGGTAAAAATTAGACACACCGAATTCAGAGTCTGCTTTCTGGAGAACCCAGTCCACAGTAGACATCCAGGGCTCTCCTCCCCTCTCCTCTCCCTTTTTTTTCCCCCAGTGTTGGACATGGAACTTGGGGCCATGTGCATTGTAGGCAAATGCTACGGCACTGAGCTACACCCTAAGCCTTGCTTTATTTTGATAGGTGGGGTTATGCTGGCGTCCCTGCTCCCAGGTCTGTAGAACTCACCGGGGCTCCAGATACATTTGCTGAAGGCTTCAGGTGCTCTCCAAGGAAAGCACACACGCCAGATCTTGACTTTGATGTCAGGAGCTGTGCAGACCATCGAGCCCTTGTTAAGGACACTGCTATAGAGCAGTGGAGGATTTTGTCTACTCTGAGAACCGTGCCACAGGCTGTGGGTAGCTGTGGCCTCAGAGAAAAATGTTTGCGCGACACACCACTGAGCCCTTCCGAATCAGGTCAGCACCCTCCTTGGTGCTCATGGCAACCTCACTGAGACGCAAGAGAGCTGGGGGGCGGGGGCGGTGAAGCCCTCGGTCTGCAGCTTCCTAGTTTGGTGATCTTGAGTAATATACTTAATTTTTTGCACTCGGTTTTTTCATCTGCAAAATGATGTGCAGGAGAGGGAATGACTTCTCTCCAGGAGAGGGAATGACTTCACAGCCTTTCTGCAGCACAGTGGCCCAGAGGGAGTAGACCGGGCAGTGCCCGTGAGCATCTGTGTTTCGGCAGTCCATGCCAGGGAGCTGACTCGGGCAGTGTGTCCCCCTCTTGGCTCCTGGAAGACCCTGGCAGGCTGTGTTTCCCAGCGCCATGAGCTGGAGGGAACAGGGCCCACTGAGCCAGAAGGGGAACGGGGAGGGTTTAAGGCTCAGGTCTGAGCCCGCTGCTCTTCCACCAGTGGCCTGGTCGGGGCAGTCATTGGCACAGATTTGGGAGAAGAGCCTGAAGAGGTATTGGGAGGCTCAGCCTATGCTACTGGTGGTGGGTGGCATGTGGAGGGGGGTGGGGGGTGGGCTCCGCCCTCTGCCCCCAAGCTATCACTGAAGGCTCTGCAAGGGGCTTTGAAGGCTGAAGGTGTTCTCAGACAGAAGGACCCTGTGGAGGGTGGGACAGATGGTACTCAATTGTCCCAGACTCCCTCGGCCCTCCTCAAAGCCTTTGTACAGCAAAGGAATAAAGTATTTTCAAGACAAAAGCTAAAACCATGCTTCACATTCCCTTAAGATTTTTCAACCTTTACTAAAACACTTCATTTTCTCCTTTCTCAGAATCGGTAAGGTGATATTAGATGTCAGAATGGAGCTGCAGAGCTTAGGAAGCCAAATAGGTTTGCCTCCCAGATAGTATTAGGGAGGGGATGAGGTAAATAGAGAGCCAACAGGACTAGAAACAAATTCACACCAGGGATGGCAGTACACACCTGTAATTCCAGTTACTTAAGAGGATGAGATGGGAGGGCTGCAACTTCAAGTCTAGCCTGGGCAATTCAGTGGACTGTCTCAAAATCATTTTCTTTTTTTCTTTTTTAATGTATTTAGCACAGGGTCTACAGGATCTCACTACACAGATTGGACTCATAGTGATCCTCCTGTTTTCAGCCTCCCAAGGGCTGGGATTACAGGCTCAGGCCACCACACCCAGTCTCAATCCCTGTCTCAGTGCACCCTTGGGGCAGGGCTGGCACAGCACGCCGGGGATTGAACCCTGGCCTCTCTGTCTGCCTAAGCAGGCACTTTAATCCACTGAGCTATCTGGCTGACCCAACTCAAAATAAAATTTTTAAAGGGCTGAGGATGTAGCTCAGTGGTAGAGCATTTTCCTAGCATGCACAAGTTCTTGAACAAAGAAAGAAGGAAAGAGTGAACAAATTCATTCTGTGCTGTTTCAAAGAACAGGTTGGGGAATCCTGCTGCAGGTGAAAAGAGCCCCACATGTGCGTGCAGAGCGCTGCCGCACCTCGGGCCCCTCACTTGCACTCTCGAGGTTGTTGCTTCATGGTCCTACAGTTGGGCCAGGTGCTTTCACACGTGGAAGGAAGCAGAGGCCGGGCCTCCTTGCCTGCAGCGCTTCGCTGAACCACTCACACCACAGCGGCCGCTGCTCCCCTGGCTGTAAGCCACGTCTGCCCTTCCTTGTGCCCAGGGCTCCCTGATCACCACCATCCTAGCAGGCGGCCAGGGCTCAGAATAGAAAGGCCTGGAGGAGACAGATGTGGCTTTCTGGGCTCCTCTGTACCCAGAGGCCATTCCGACTTCCGGACTGTGACAGGCTGCTCCCGGCCAGCTTCCCAGGGCTCTGAAGACTAAATTATTTTTGCTCTGTGTTGGTGCCTTAGCAACTCCAAGCTCTGGTCTTGCAGCTGCTCCAAAAGGTGCTGGCAGGTTGGCTTGTCTCTGGGGGCTTCCTGCCCAAGGGCTCATGGCTGCTCCCCTCCCTGACCAGCCTGGAACACTGAGACGGCCAACTCTGGGTGGGCCTCAGCATGGCTCCTGGCCATCCCTGCGGCCCCAGCTGTCTCCTGATGAATGCTGGCACCTGTATGCTTGGGAGGCCCCTCGAGACCCCAGCGCCCCCTCAGGCTGGGCCTCCTGACTGTCATCATCTCCGTGCGCTAGAATCCTAATAGTGCTGAGCACTTTGTGTTCTCATAAGTAGGTATGGGTCTGGTAGCAAAACCAAGCCTACAAATACCTTTCCACTCTCCAGCCCCAGTACACAACACTGGCCTGAGCGTTTCCGGGGCACCTGACGCTCCTGGCATGGGCTTTCCTTTCAGGCAGGCCGCTGGCATTATTGCCTCCAGGAAAAGCAGCCTCCAGCCTGCCACTGTTATCTCTCCAGGCCTTAAAGGGGCCTTGGAACCTTTCCTGCACATACAGCCTAAAGACACCTGGGGGTGGGGGGCTGGGGTGCAGCTCCATAGTAGAGCACTTACTAGGTGAGGTCCTGGGTTCTATCCCCAATACCAAAGAGAAAAAAATTGCAGATTTACAACTTAGTAAACTCAGGCTTTTATTTCATTTTTCTTTTATATTTTTATATGCAACATAATGTGATATATAATGAAAGAGGGTCAGAGCAATAGGTAAGTGGTGCAAGCACCTACCTGGCAAACACAAGGTCTTGAGTTTGATCCTTGGTACCAAAAGAAAAAAAAAAGTAACTGATATATAAGGAAAGATATTAACCAGGCACAATGGTGCATGCCTGTAATCCAAGCTATTCAGGAGGCTGAGGCAGGAGGGTCACAAATTTGAGGTTAGCCTGGGCAACACAGGAAGACTGTGTTTTAAAATAAATAATAATAAAGGGCCAGGTTTGTAGTTTAGTGGTATAATGCCCCTGGGTTCTACCACAAGTATTACAAAAAGAAAAGTTAAAAATATCTATGTGCAGCCAGTACAAGAAACAGCACGTCAGAAGAGTGTCCACCCCATTTCACCTTCCTCCATCAGAGATTCCCGCCCTCCTGCGCCTGGTTACCCCCTAGCTCTTCCTTCTGCGCCAACACCCTTGTCTTTACATCAGCAGTGGTGGCTGCCTCTCATGAGCACTTCCGGGTAAGCACTTTGTGGGTGACACCCAGGAACATGGGGCCCTGCGGGCTCCAGAGGGGTCAAGGAAGTGGCTCCCGGGTGGCTCGCTGCTAGGTCCCTGCTAGCCAGTTTGCTGAGTGGAGATGCCTGGCCACAGACACCTGGGCCTCAGGCTGGGCCCCAGCATGGCAACAAGGAAGACTTTGATTTATTTATTTACCTTTAAATATGGAACACTTCACAGATTTGCTTGTCATCCTTACACAGGGGTCGTGCTAACCTTCTCTGTATTGTTCCCAGGTTGGCATATGTGCTGCTGAAGTGAGCACAAGGAACACGTGTAAGAAAGAAAGTAAAGTTGACCTGGGAGAGGGTCCCCTCCGGCTCTCTGATGCCCGGCAGTGTGATGACTACCTAGGCCTGCTGGAAGCCATACTAGCCTGGTTCCTGGAGCTGCCAGGAGCCAAGGGGAGAAGAGTACCCAATCCAGGTCTGGGGTGTGAGTGCTGCTGGAGCAGCGGTGTCAGCCAGTTCCTAATCGGGGTCCTCTTTCCGGGTGTGGGTGCTCTACCACATGCCTGCTATGTGGTCCGGGACCATGTACCTCGATGTCGCCTGACACGAGAGTCAGCCCAGCGTGGGGAACAACTGTCTTTTTCTTTTCTAGGATTCCCAAACTTTTAGTCTGTCAAATAAAATTTAAACCAAAGGCACTCCTTGCTTTCCCTATACTATCATAAAAGAATATGACCTATAGGAAGGTTGTAACTTCAGAGTGAAAAACTGTCTTTGCATGCTGGGGAGATAGCTTGGTGGTCAAAGTGCCTGCCTGGAAAGCGCAAGAACCTGGGTTCAATCCCCAGTACCGCATGCCATGCCGGTTGTGCTGTGCCGGCCTCCGAAACCAGACATGGTGGCACACCCTATAATCCCAGCACTGGTGAGGCTGAGACAGGAAGAACACTAGGAGCCTGAGCCTGTACCAAATACGTAAGTAATAAATTAAGGGTTTGTTGTTGCTGTTGTTGTTGTTGTTTTTACCTATCTTTATCAGTTTTGTTTTGTTTTGATATCAGGAATAGAACTCAAGGCCTCACACTTGCCAGGCAGGTGCTGTGCCACTGAGATATATCCCTCGCCCCTTTATCAGTCTTATACTCTTAGTGCCTTGTGCAAGAGGTCTTTGAATGGAGGAGAACTGGACTTTTCCATTCAGTGTAATTTCTGAAGCTCTGAGTTACAAATGATGCCAAGAAAGGTAAGAAGGGCCGGGCAGCACCAGACATAGAGTATGAGCTTGAGGACCAGGAAGTCCACCTTGGTTAAAATCCTCCACGCGCTAGCTACATGGCACTGGGTAGGCTTCTTAGCCCCTCTGAGCCCATTTCCTCCAATATAGTGGGTGCTTTTTTTTTTTTTTTTTTTTTTTTGTAGTACTAGGAATGGAACTCAGGACCTTATGCTTGCTAGGCAAGCACTTTTTCCACTGAGCTATCTCTTTAGCCCCTCCTCCAATATACTGGGGATACCAGTGATAGGATTTTGCTGAGAGTTAATGAAACAATACCTCTGAACCCTCTGGTACCTGTTTGGTGCCAAGTAAATGTGGATTTCCTTCCTCCTCCAGGAGGAAGGAAAGCAGTCCTCATGAGCTGACTGCTCCCTGGGGCACAGGTCCCTGGGCCCTGGTCACAGCCCCTGCAGAGCCTACAGTCTTGTGGTGACCTACACAAAGCTTGTGCCCCCAGCCCAGCCAGAGGCCAGCATAAGACCCATCTGGGTGATTTGTGTTCTCTTGGACATGAAGCGCCTCCTTCCCATCCTCCTGTTCTAGCCCTTCCTCACCCTGGTAGAGCAGATGCCTGTTCTGTCCTAAGCTATTTCCAGGGCAGGACAGCTTCTTACAGGCCCAGTGTCACCATATGCCAGGGAGAATTCTCTGGTGGCTTAGAGGCAAATGTGGAGGCCAAGTGTATGTTCACTGCCAACACAAGTCTTGTAACCCGCAGAACCAGCGGTGGGGCTGGACTTCACTCTGCACACTGTCTGGCTACTATAGAACATGCTCCTCGACTTATTCCCTGTAATTACCTTCAGCTTTCCTACTGGAAGTCTTTCCTGATGTCTACTTTCAGTCTTTACTTGCTGTAGTAGAAACACTTTTGGGTGACAGCATCTGATTAGCCACAGTGTCTGTCACAAAACTGTGGGTGCCATGGATCATCGCTGCGAGGAGGAAAGGGCAAAACTAGGCTACTGCACCCAATGGGACAATGACATCCGTTCACCGTTTCTACAGACACACTGGGCAGAAACCTCAGAGACACTAGCTTGGGAAGCAGCCCTGGGGCGGGGCGGGGGCAGTGGCGGGCTGTAAACCGTTCCCTGCCAGTAAAGCGTCTTGTCTCAGGCGAGCAGGCAGGCAGACTGGCAGCTGGCAGGATGATTTTCCTGATAAGACGCTTGTGCTCTTAATCTCCCAGCCTCCCAGTGACAGGCCGTGCTGGGGAAATCATTTCTCCCCTGCCCTGATGCCTGGAAAATCTCCCTGTGCCTACTGGCCCCGCTTGATTGGCATTCTTCGGAGCCTTTAGCCTCTTTGATCCCTGTCCCAAATTGGTCCCTTGGTTCTGAATCTCTCTCTCTCTCTCTCTCTCTCTCTCTCTCTCTCTCTCTCTCGCTGTCTTGGATATTGGGCTCTTTCCAGCCAGCACTCCATATGTCATGGGTCAGGGCTGACCAGACAGCTCCCTGCACACTGTCACCTGCTGTCCCCAGGGAGGCCTTGACACTCTCTCTGAGGGGCACAGTTCAGCACTTGCTATGGTTTAGATCCCAAATACCCCCTGCCCTGCCAGGCTAGGTCATGAGGGTGTGGCTCTATGGAGAAGTGATGGGACCTTCCTCATGGGGTATCCTAGTGGAGGAAGCTAGGCCGCTGGAGCGTACCCTGGAAAGGGATCGTTCCAGCCCAGCTCCGCTTCCCTGCCCCCCTGAGGTGAGTGGCTTTGCTCGACATGCTGCTTCGTGATGTGGTGCCTCCTCACAGGCCCCCAGACAAAGGAGCCTGCTGAAAGGATGAAGGCTCTGAAATCGTGAATCAAAACAAACCTTTCCTCCTTTTAAACTGATTGTCTTAGGTACTTTGTCACGGTACAGAAAACTGATTGACACAGTGGTCACACACAGCACATGAGACAGCGAGTCCTTCTCCCACCAGGCCCATCTGCACAACAGTTGGCCCAGTGTTTGTGATGAGGTGGGCTTGTGTAGGGTGGCAGGACAGCACATTGGTTCTGAGGATCAGCCAGTCACCTCTGAGTTTCTAGAACCTGGACCTCACCTGATTTCTGATTTTTTTTCTTCTCTGCGCTTGAAAATCCAACTTCTATTTTTTCAGTGCGGGGGTGATCCCAGGGCCTTGCACAGGCCAGGCAAGTCCTCCACCACTCAGCTATGCCCGCAGCCCCAGGAAGTCTAACTTTTAAAGAGATAGCACTCACTAAATCCTTATGACAAGCTAGACAGATTTCTAGGCATCACCTCATTTAAAATGTTCCCACAGGCTTGCGCCATTGCTGGCATGTGTGTGACTGTCACATTGGGTCCTGCCACATGTTCAAATCAGTGCCACCCAGCAGCAAGATGCATAAATTATAGTCCCAAGTAAGCATATTAATCCTCTTAAAGACTCTCACAGGTAAGTGCTATTGTCATCCTTCCTTTGCAGATTCATAAATGGAGGATTAGAAAGCTTAAGTAATTTAACCAAGGTTACAGGGTTCCTAAGTGGCCCAGCCAGGACTTGAACCTGGAATTGAATTATGAGAGGCTT